ATTTTGAACGCTTTACTTAGCGCTGTTGTATATTGAATCAATTTTTTTTTTCATCTTTTCGGTATAAAAACCTAAATGATTTAGAAAAATTACAAAAACTTCTACCTCCCTAAAGTTAGGGTGAAATTAACATATATTAGCTCTAAAAAAAGCAAAATTATTTTTGCGGTAGTAATGTTTCAAAACGAAAATAAAATTAAAAAGCTTGATAATGACAAGCTAATTAGGTAAGTACATTGCTTTTGTAAAATTCATAACACCAACAAAAATGAAATCAATTTGAATTAAATTAGTAAAACACAATTTTAAAATCTATTGGACGGATTTCAATTTTAATTTTGTTTAGATATAATAAATAAATTTATTATATCTAATATATCTATCTAAGTATAAAAATACTATTTATTATATAAAATTGAACTTGGCAAAGTGAAATAATAGAACACCAGAGAATACTGAATGTGGCTTCATTTCAGTTTTCCAAACAGTGTCCATATATGGAATATTATATAGCCAGTATGTCCAAGATTGTGTGTGCATATTTTTTGTACATTTTTTGGACGGATTTCACTTTTAATTTTGTTTATGAAAAGAACGTTAGTAAAAAAAGTATTGAAACCGAAATGAAAAGAGCGGCCTTTTAGACCCCATTGAGAAGATTTCGCTTCGTTATTATGTCACTTACTTTCGAAAGTGACTTTTTGTTTTAGCAAAATTTAGCAATCGATAATCAAGTACCGATGGAATCGAAAAAATTGTAAAAAATTTGCGAAAAATTAAGGTATTCGAACTTTCCAATAAATCACACCTCAATGTGAACCGCCAAGGCAGAGTTGCTAATGTTAGGATGTAACCAGGTAAGTACAATGCTTTTGTAAAATCGATAACACAAAAAAAAAAATAAATAAATTTAAATTAGTAAAACACAATTTTTAAACTACTGGACCACTTTTTGACATTTTATAACATAAAACTATTTTTGAAAACATTTAGAGACCTTTGGAAGCCCGCGACATTAATTAGATTAGTAAAACGCAATTTTAAAACTACTGGACCATTATTGGCTGGTCTATCATATGTACAGTAAGATAGATAATTTGAATCAACTTGAATCTTCAAAAAACTATTTCACGCAGCTCTTGCCATGAAATTACCTTTATTGTATATCTGTTGGACGGTTAGTCCCCGCCAAGGCACCGTTACTGTTGTTGAGATCTTTGTAAAACCTTAGTTAAGACAATTGAATAATTGAAATAATTTTCACAAAAACATTTTTTTCACGTTTCAAACGCTACGACGAATGGTAAACAAATATTGTTTATTTATAAAACTTTATTCAGCCGTCAATCGTTCACATTACCTGGCAACGAACGCGCATAGGTAATTTAATTCAATAAAATATGTGCTTTTTTGTCAAAATTTAATTTGGGTGGCCTTTTTTTTTCCATTCGAAACGACACTTTGACGTACACGACCTACGACGAGGTTTATTCATAATATGGCAATAATGGAATTTTTTTATAGAAAAGGGGGATGGTGTGTGTGCCGTGATTTGAACACAATAAGGTTGACAATGCTATTATTTATCGCCTCCTATTTCTAGTTTCAATATCCGTATGACCAAAATCGGGATCTAGAAAAAAGTTTCCAACCTAATCAATGATTTTGTTATATCACAGTTTTAAGTTAGTTATGGACAGTAATATTATCGTTTATTGTATATTTTCTATCGCTTACCTTTTTGGGAATTTTTGGTCTGTGTTGTTGTTGGACAAACGTTTTCCAAACATAGTTACATCGAAGGTGAAATTTTTAAAAACAACAATAAAGAATGAAAAACTTCTGAAAATAACTGTAATTCATCAAGAGTTAAAATATGTTAGCGGTAATGCTTGTGTTGCTAAACTGGCGATTGTCTAAATTGTTATGCCTACATCGTCTAGGTGATTTTTGTTATGCCAACGGTTTGTAGTCTCATAAACGTATTAGCCATATGTGACAAAACACAATTTTAATATGGTATACTTTTAAATCGGTTTTCGTCCAGAAAATGAGAACATAGAGAGTCTTATAGAATTGTCAATTTTAAGAGTAATTTTTCAAAACTGGTTATCGACCAGTCGACATTTTCATCAAGTTACTTTCAACTTGAAAAGTTTATTAAATATATACGTTACCATATTTTAAGGTTGATAGAGCTCAATGGGGGAATAAAAATTAAAAAACTTGATTTTTGTTCAATATTTTAGAACAACATTAGCTAAAATGTTCGCAAGTATCAAATGTAGTAATTGTTGTGGCAAACAAACAAAACTATAAGCGTTTAAATTTCAAATTCTTTCTAAGTGTTATTAGATGAAAAACTGAAAGACACTAAAAATAAGTAATTTTATAAGCGTCATTTAGCCTTTTTTAGTATATTTTTGTATGTACTATCCAAATCAAGTCATAAACCTTATAAGATATTTTACCATCAATTTGGTGTACAAAATAATAGATTTCAATGTTTATTATTTAATCTTTTGAATTTTATACTTTTCAAAGCGTTTTAGTGAGAAAAAATTAATAGCTGCCAAAAGGCGATCTGCAGTGTGACCACAATGACGAAATTAAATTTCTCTGGTACATATTTTGATTCGTTTCTCTACCCCACAATTATGGTGTTATCACATTATTAAAATATTATTGTCATATGAAACGTTAGTAAAAATAAGTATACCTTTTAATTATTACTTTGTATGATATAAAACAAAAATAGTTAAGTACATAAGGATAAATACCTTTATTTCTTATATAATAGGTGATTAATGATTACTCTTCAAAAACAAAGTCGTCCACACGGGCATTTTCTAAAGAAATAACTAATAAATATAAATACCTACCTAAATGAAGTATTTTAAAACATGTGTTCTACTTACCTTCTTCAGCATCAAATCCGCAATCAGCTTAGTGAGGAAAAATGAATAGCTGCCAAAAGGTGAACTACAGTGTGACGAGGACGAAATTAAATTTCTCTGGTACATATTTTGATGCGTTTCTCTACCCCACAAATATGGTATTATCACATTATTGTCATATGAAATTTGAATGTATCTCTTGATCTCTGTAGTCGATACGCTTTATACTGCGCAGTGTATAACGACTTGTAAAAAAGGTATTTATTATTTATTCAAAGCGGTCACACTGTCACTGGCCTACTTTGATTGCCTCATATTTTCACAATTTCCACGTTAAAAACTAACCGAATAATCGCGCCGTTTCTGTGTTATATTATTTGATTTTTTTCTCCCCTACCCTTAGTTTCTGCCATTAATTATTGTGTTGTGCGGGCCGTTTGATATAATGACACATTCGTTCGCAGGACCGGAAATATTTCTCCCAAAGTGATTGGAAAGCAACGTACACACACAGACACAGGAAAAGTTGACAGACTCGCCCGTCAAACGCAAGGGGCGGCTCCGGCGCTAATATATCATGTTTAATGTTGCTTGTCAGTAAAACCGTGCAAGCCTCTCTGAAGGGTTTTATTGCCCTGGATGGACACTGGTCAACTAATTTTCAGTTGTGTATATATATATTTTATATATAAATGTGTTTTATGTGTCTGTGTGTGTGTGTGTGTACACGTTGTTGCACACACTATTGTTCCTAACCGGGGAGTAGTCGGTGGTAGTACACCCCATATATTTTACCTTGGCTCCGGTTCAATATAACAGCAGCAGCAGCAGCAGCAGCATTCGGACAGTCCACCCGAAATTCCCTACAACAACAATAATAATAATGCATCCATTATACCAATGCAAACGTCCAGTCTTTCGGTGTTATTGAGTTATGTTATGTGTATACACACCAGCACTAAGCCAAGACCGACCCCGCGTCGATAAATCTCCCAAGTCGGTGTCCGGTATTGTTTTTCCACCAGTTTTAGTCGGTCGAGTTTAATAATGAAATACACTAAGAAATATCATAACTTAATAGACAATAGCAATGTGTTTTAGTGTGTCCGCGACGCCGACACGGTGAACATGGCTCTGTATTAATTTTGAGACATAATTGCTTTGAATGGTAAAAAATTAGTTCTATGTAATGCATGAACGCCACATTTAATGTAAATTTTCATTTGACCACCAAAAAGATGATTGAATAAAAAAACTTCAATCCAAAAACAAATGACCACTTAGAATATTCATTTCAACTGTAATTAATATAACTATGAGATTATGCAAAATTGAACACATGTATACATATTATAAAATATAATTATTTGTTTTCCTAACCTTAAAGGAATTATAAAAAAAGCGGGTAGTATAAGTATAGTGGAGTTGGTTCGATTTGATTAGTTAATTCATTAACTGTCAAGTAATTTTTAGCAAAAGTAAATTTTGCCATTTTAAAATCTAGTAATCTTTATGTCTTACCTACAAAGGTATATAACCATTAATTAAATTACCAATAAAAAGTAAATACATTTATTAGAAGTAAGTTATTTAATAATTATATTAAATTAGTTCTTCCTAACTGAGACAATTACATACATTACAATTTTAGAGTGGTCAGTGGTTGTTAGGCATTTTAAGCCTTAATAAAGTTGTATATTTATTTATAAATGTCTGTTAATATATTAACTATTAAAACCGCATAATAGAACCAAAAAAACTACATCTGAGAAAAAACTTGACGAATTATTTTATTCAACGTACAAATGTTATTTTTGTTATAAGAGTAACGAGCGAGTTGACGATTCGAGTAGCGCGAGCATGCAACTGACCTACTGATAAGAAAACAACAAACGAAACAAAACAGAAACTTATCACACAATATTTTTTTTTGTAATTCTTGTATTTTTCCAACTATCACAGAATCGTGAATATTTTATCTGGAAAATCACTTTGGAAGGTGGTAGCTGTTTTTTTTCTTCATAGTAAACATGTTTTAAGTATAAATTTGATCATAATAATGATAACAATAATGATAACAATAAATTAAAAAATGATAGCTCTTCAGCGGGCCGTCTTGGTGATCTGTTCCACCAGCCAACACATGGCCTCGTGCAGCCCGTCCTCGTCCAGGCGGCCGGTGCTGATGTCGGTGGCCGCCAGCCGCCACGGCCGCGACTGGCCGACGTCCTCGTGCAGCCGGAGCGCGGCCGCCACGGCGGTGGTGCTGCACGCGTCCGGCGCGGCCGCTTTGCTGGCCAGGAACAGTATCGGCACGGACGGCCTGTCCGCCACGTCGGCGTGCCTCAACGTCATGTCCAGCTCGTCCTTGGCCACGGCCAGCCGCATCTGGTCCGTGCTGTCCACGACGAACAGCAGCGCGTCGCACCGGCCGTACATGCACTCCCACATGCTGCGGTAGCCGTCCCGGCCGGACATGTCGTGCACCGTGAACTTGACATTGTTGACTGCAAAGACAAGATAAGATGAGACGGATGCAATAAGTGAACACGGGCGTGACTGAGGAGAGAGATCAATCCGGACCGATAAGAACGGCAATGCAGATAAACTGGATCGCTGCTAACTGAACGAGGCTAAAAAATGCTCCACAAGAAAAAACAAAACAACTGGAATGCCCAAGATTAAGATGGAAGACAGGGTAATAGAGGACGTGGAAAAAGGTAGAGCCCGGAGAGGATTGGAAGGAAATGTCATTAGAAAGGTAAAGTTGAAGGCAAACATGCTGGACGATATGTTCTTAAAGGCTGAAAACCACGGTGAAGAAGATGAAGAAAAGAGGGGTGGAGGAACACCGTAAAAAGGCTTTTGTAAAGAACGTTTTTTTTGGTTATGTGCCAGAGCTAAGACATGTAAATGTCAAAAGGTGGTTGGATGTGACTGAGAATGATATGAACACTGTTAGTGTATGGTATATTATAAGATGTGGGTTATCGTATCGAGGAGTTCTAAGACTAAGAAAAAACAAAGCATAAATAATCATAAAAGTCTCAAATCATAAATTTCTCATATTTCATAATTTTCTCAAAATCACAAATTTCTCAAAATCATAAAAGTCAAATCGTATATTTATTTCTTAAAAATCATACATTTCTCATATCATAAATTTTACATAAATATCATAAAATCATAAATGTCAAATCATACATTTCTCAATTCATAAATTTCTCGTATCATAAATTTCTTATATTTCATAATTTTTTCAAAGTTCATTATATAAAATCATAAATTTCTCAAAATCATAAATGTCAAATCATACATTTCTCAAATAAAATTTTTTTCATATCATAAACGTCAAATCATATATTTCTGAAATCATAAATTTCTCATTTATGAAACAAATTTGAGTGTTTTACCAAACTCCACTCTAGACCTAGAACTATATTCAGACTTCAAGGCCTAAAAATTCACTGCACTAAACCATTTCCACCCCTTCTACGGGAAAGGGCTTGAGATATTTTTTTTTGGTTTGTCAACGTAAATTGATACATAGTACTGGGGATAAATATATTTCATATTTTTAAAAGAGTTTTTATTGCGCCATAATTTTAAATTGAAAAATATTTCAATAGTTTTGGAGATTTTTTGATTTTGTAGGAAAAAAGAAAACTATTTCGATTTTTCAGGTACGATATAATCTATATATAGACTTGCCACATGAAAATATCGGTTCAGACTAAACACATGTTTACATCTTATATCTTATAACATACTAGGAAATCGAACCAAAATAATTATAATCACAGAACTTTCTTTTTTTCGTAAGTCAGTATTTCTATACTTTTATAAAACATTTTTTAAGTGTACAAACATTGAAAACCCATTTTTCACTAACATAAAGAAAAAATACCTATTGGATAGATATTCGTTATTTTTTTATAATCGAATAAAATACATTGGTTATAGATATTTCTTTTTAAACTAAATAATGCCAAAAAAAAAAAATACATACATTTATAATTATTTATAACATTATGTTTAAACCAAATTTCAAGTATAAATAATTAAAAAGCTATATTATTAATTCAAACGTGTACGACACTTGTATAAAATCCCAAATATTATTTAAGTTATAAATTTTACTTTATAGGAAAATTCTAATTTTGGTTTTGTAAATTGTTTAGTTGCATTTTTTTGGAGAAAATACCAAAAAATAAACCAAAAGTGATACATAAATTAATTGAATCGGGTGTCAGAAATTTCCAGAAAGTCTATTTCTTGAATCCACATCCTAAGTTTGTAATTAATTTACATACAATTAAATAGTATACAAAATTAGCTATACAATTTTTATTTGTTTTGTCTTATAATATAATTCTTAGATAAACTATAGGAATATTCGAGAGAGATGAAGAGAGGAGAAACACAACTTTACCATACCCCTAGTTGAAATGTAATAATTAATTTCTAACACTGATTGTGTATTTGAAAGTGTTTACATTGAAGTTCAAATACTTGTAGTAGAAAAATACATTTGAAAATGAATACCTCGGTGAAACAACCCACGCAATCTGGTGATCAAGGAACGCTACAAAAGTGATTTCAATGATTTCACTATTTTCAGAATAATAATTATACAATGTGATGGGTTTAACGTTGTTGGCTGCACATTAGTTAGTCATTCTCAAAGTAAAACATCTTTAAAAGCCGGGCAGATCCCATACCCAATTATTTATTTTACAAAATATATTAAGTCAAATAGTATAAAAATAAATGTCTGATCGGCAGACATTGCTTCGATTACTTTGGAAAAAAAATTAACCCAAACTACAGATTTTTGAGAAAATGTTTATCGATTGTACTTACTTATCTAAAGAATATTTTGCCACCATTTGGGGATGGTTTTAAAATGTTTTGTATGAAAAGTACACAATGGAATCGCTTAACGAGTAAGTATTCACAAGAGACAAGACAAAAGAACACGTTAGAAGGACCTTACAATTACATTAGTAATAGTAATTGTAACATTAAACAATAAATGGGAGGATATTTGAATAGACAAAGTGAGAATGATGAGTAATATAGATAAGGAATTTGGCTTTTGTTGATCGTTTGTATTTAATTAACTACAAGCTGTTCTAGATAAACCTAAAAAACGAATCTTAAAAATTACCTTTTTTTTTTTATAAAAAACCTAAATTAATTTTTTTTTTCTAAAATGTTCACAGTCTAATTCAAATTTTATAAAGATTTTTTTTAGTATATTTTTTTTAAATACACGGTGCAGAATATTGAATTTTAAAGTTGATAAACTCGAATTTTGGTATGCGTTTTTAATTTTTTCTTGCTTATTGCTTTTTGTATGATAAAAATAAAATATTTGTTGTCTAATTGAACGAATAATTTACAAAAAAAGAAAATTTTAAAATTTAGATTTCCCTTAAATATATTACAAAGGTCAAATCCTCCTGGACACCTTGTATGTTACCATTTATATATTTTCATAATTTGAAAAAGCTATGCAACGAAGGTACAGAACAATATCAATATTTGTGACATTCATAAACTAACGCGAGTCTAAAACTAATCTTTTTTATCTAATCTCTGCTAATACCTTATGTATAATTTTGTCAATTAGGAACATTATAAAATCTATAGAAAACCTTTTTTTTTCAGGTATAAAATATTTCCCCTTTGTGGAAAAAACACAATTAGATCATGAACATGTCCTATGGGACCTCGTCAGCTGGTTTTCTTATCAGTCGTTCAGGGGTTATCAATTGTCATCAACCCATTCTCTACTAGTTCTATTAGCTCCTACCAGTTATTTTCCTTCCCCTTCGTTCGTCCTAACCTAAACAGTTCCTTCCGCTCATCGTCTTGTACTGTTGTACTGTAATCCCTCACATCTCCAATCCATCCGGAGTACCTCTCCAGCAACTCTTCGACCCTTTTCCTCACCCCCTTTCCCTTAAGTCGAACTTAAGCGTGACGCCAATTTCGACAGACTCTCAGGCCCCCGCCCTGGGACGTATTCCCGTCAAAACTACTCGCCATAATAATTTAGTGTGTTCAGCATGACTTACATGTGAATTTGTCCACGGCGAACCCCACGGTCGGTCCGACGTTGCTGCTGGCAAGCTGCTCGCGTTCCGGCTTCAGGCGATTCAACAGCGTGCTCTTGCCGGCATTGTTCAGGCCGATGATGAGGATGTGCGCGTTTCGCCGGCGCGGCGTCCGTCCGAAGATGCCCAGGATTTTGGCTATTTTTCGCCAAATGTTCATCGCCAAATTGAAAATCTAAAAAAAATACAGCACAACCGAATTGGCTGCTGGCCGGGGGGTTAAGCTAGTAGGTCCTACCCCAAGCACGCGAGCCACCCTTTGCCCGGTCGTTGCACGGCTATCACCAAGGTTACAACGGCGCGACAACAAAACCGCAGCGCCGCCGACTGGATGCCGACATTTCCCTATTATGATGATGTGACGTTGTTGTTTAGCGAACACCTTCGATACATTGATTTTTTGTGTGTTTTTACACACAAACCCTGAAAACCGTCGGCGAGACCCATCTGTGTTTACAGATGGAATTCACCGTGATCGACGCCGAAGTCATCCAATCGCGGTTGGGACCGCAACAAACCACGGCCACGGGGAAAAGCTCCAACGACCCGGACCGGCTGCTGATCGCCCTGAAACAAGTCCAACAGCTAGACCTCAGCTGCATGAGTAAGCACGCAAACCGATAGATTAGTTTTTTGAGTATAAAAGTTGAAAGGAACAGAGACAGACATCAGCGAAAGAGATGGGAAGCAGAGGCTCCGGTATGTACTTAAGTGGAGTGGAAACTATGACCATTGGAAAATAATATATTTGGTTTGACTAAACCTAAAAAAAAAAACCCCCAGTTAGCTCAAAAACAGTTTTTATTTAATATTTTAAAAGATTTATAGTGTCTTTCCATTGACATGAATATATTTTATGACCGAGGGGTGTTGTCGAAAGAGGGGAAGGAGTGTAAGGCGAAGGGGAGCAGATGGGATAGTGATAAGTGTAGATTAGATAGGAATGGAATGAGGTTATGGGGAAATCGACAATTCCAGGATGATTGGTAAGATATTATTGATTAGAGATACAGCTGATAAGACCTTGGTCTAACCTCCGGCTCCGAGGGAGTGATTGATGGACATTTTTTGTTTCCTAGTGGCAAAGTAATTTAAATTTGTATTTTTTTTATGTTTTTTTAGTTGCCCGTTTATTAATAATTTCACGAATTTAAATGAGATTAATAAAAAAAAAAAAAACTGTACAAAACAATCAAATTGGTGTGAACATCAGGTTTTGGTTAAATAATAAATAATATGGACTTTATCCCTATAATATATCCCTAAATAATGTTAGTTGTTTAACACAAAAAACAAAATAATAATTATCATAAATTATCAATTTAAAAAAGCTGATAAAATATATTGCCAAAATGGAAATAGGAACAATCTCAAAAAAAATTAAAAACTGATTTAAAAAGTCAAAAATTATAATTACTATTTTTCATAGTGTATACTGTATTTAATATTCATATTATTCATGTTGGTTATATCCAGCTTTTACAGATATATATATATTTTGCAAAAAGAAGAAGACTAAAATTATTATATTAAATCATCTTACATTGCGTTAAAACTTAGTAATCACGTTGGTAAACACATGAAATCAGGGTTTATTTTTTTTAATAAAAAAAGAGCATTTTTTTTCCAAATAACGTTCACAATTGTATGTGTAGCTTTCACGAGGCACATAGCAGGACTAAGAATGACAAACTAGTTTGTCAATATTCGTTGAGTAGAAAGAAAAACCATACATTATACCATTCTGATCCTTATACTGATATTCCCCGGTCGTTCCCGTGGGATCAAAAAACAAACGGCAAGAGGATAACTCCAATGCTAGTACCCTATATAAAATACATTGATATTAAATGGGTTTTTTATGAAAGCATTGTTGTTCATATTAGATATACTGCACATCGTCAATTTGAGCGTGCTGTCATCGTCTAACCTGACGTCGTTGAAGCTGTCGTTGAATCGGATCGACAAGCTTTGCCATCTAGACACGTTGACAAATCTCGTCGAATTGGACTTGTCGCACAATCGTATAAGCCGCATCGAAAACATTCAGGTGATTTACTCTTTTCTAATACCTTTATTAAAACGAAAAGAGAGAGAGAGAGAGATGTTACAGTTTGAAAGTGCCTAGAGAACCTCCACGTAAATGGTTTACCCGAAGAACTCAGTTAAACAGAAAGAGATACGAAAACAAAAATGGATTGGAGAATATTTTCAAGGAAATGGATTACTGAATGAAATGTGATGGGCGATGATTTGAGTGGTGAAAGGTTAACCTCGTACTGACACCTAAGTCCCTGACTAACGTCTTAATGTTGATATAGCATTCGTTATCTTACAGCATTTGACTAGACTGCAGCGGTTGTCGTTGAATCACAATCCAATCACACGAGTTGAAAATTTGGAAGGTCAACTCGATTCGTTAGCAATGTTGGACGTCGGTTATTGTAAGATCGAAGACTTAAAATATGTAAGTGTAACAATTAATGCACAAATACATTCGCGTTAAAGAAAACCAACTACATTCTTATATTTGCATCTTCTTGGAATACGAATATGATCATAAAAAAAATCAGGATTACTTTTTTCTAAGGCACCACTCCTGATTATATTATCAGGCTTGATCCTTCCCAATTTCCTTTTTAATTCTTATTTATCCAACTTTGGAGCAAATTAATAAGCTATGCAAAGTCTAACTGACAGTATTTACGATCAACCAATACCCCGGTCAACTATTCCAGGTGAATGACCACCAGACCTTTGCTGATTGAGCCTTAAAACTTAAATAGCATATAAATGTCATTTTTTTCATGCCTTTTTCACTTCTGTTTTATCCTGATTGTATCATCCTGATTTTTTGTTGTGATTCAACTGCATGATACTTGTTCATTTGTTTGGAAACCGTGTTTCAGACGTTGTACTTGAAACAGTTCACGAATCTAGTGTCGCTGGTGGCAGAGGGAAATCCTATCCACTTCAAGCCGGCTGGCGCCGATCGGTCGTTGTCGATGACCATCATACAGTCACTTTTGGTGTACGACAACAAAACAATAAGACCAGAAGAAAGAGTTAAGGCGCGGCACGATTACAGGTTAGCCTCCGAAACCTGTTACTCCGGTTCGTCTCGGTTCTTTGCATAACGTCAGCCGTTGAAGCAGAAGAGCCGAACTGAACCGCGTGGCGGGTTATTTTCCCGGGAAAACCTGTATTTTTAAAAGTGATTTTTCCTGCGTAGAAAACTGGTCGAATTGCTGGAAAAAAGCCACCGAAAATGGAAACTCAAAGCGGAAGCCGACGGAGAGCGTGCGACCAGAAGTTTGGCGAGAAAAGAAGCTTTCTTGGATGGGATTTTAGAAGGAGACGACGTCGACCTGAACGAAAGGATTTTTCGAAACGCCACCGTGGAAAGCGTTCTCCGCGAAAACAACCGTTACGGGATTCACAACGCCTATAGAATGTGAGTACACTTCGATTGGGGAAACATATGAAGCATCAGTGGGTTTCTTAAGCGCCCACCCCCTTCAAAAAGAGTATCGTCCCTCTTTGTGGCATGTCCTTAACTCTTATTACGGGTCCAAACATAGTCACGTTAAACCGCGAATTGTTTAGGCACTCGGAAAAGTTCAAGACCCTCGTCAGTGATATCACAACGGCCGCAGAAAGCTGTCGGGCCACTCGAACCGGTCTGGTGCAGACTTTCGGCGAGAATCTGCGACAACTGGTCGACGAAAGAGTGGAAGAAAGTAGAAGGTATGTGTAGCACGAGTTACCTGAGCTCCAACCTTATCAGTGGTACCGAATCAAAGTCGGTTTCGCCAATCTATTGCGAACAAACTCTTGTAACTTTTACCACGTAACATCTTCTCTCGTCTTTGGTCGTTTACAGGTACGTCTTGAAATTTATCGGTGACCAGAAAAAATATTTTGCCAACCGCTGTCCAATGCCGTCCGATGTCAATGACTCCACCGTTGGTTTGGAGAGCATAATGCACAAACTGTGGCTGGCATTGATGTGCCAAGAAGACCGTTTGTCGAGCAGAATATGTGTTGGTACACAAATAGACTTTACCCCCTAACAACCGACAACCACGTGGTCGGTTAAAGCCCAATAACGTGTCCACGTTAAGCACAACAGACTGCACACGTGGTTATCGGTGGACAAAAATAAAACTGATCTCAGTGAGATTGATTGGTCTCGTTCGATTCATTTGTCCAGGCCATGATCGCGGATCTACACGGTGTACTCGAAAAGGAAATAGATCGTTTCAAGCGGTTCGTCAAGGATAGGTTCGGCTCGTTGCAAACGCAGCAAAATGATTTTTTACAATTCATTTTGGAGTACGCGACGAGTTTCGCTCAAAACAACGAGGTGAGCTAATTAGCAAATACCAAATCAGATAAACTGGTGTTTAGTGTCTTATAAAAATTAGTATACTCGAGGTATACCTTGAATGAAGAAATTTAAAAGAGTTTATTTAAAAAAAAGATTTCCAAAAATTTAAACATGATATGAAAATATCACCAAACAAATGTTATTTCGAATAAAAAAAAAAGGCTCAAGTCATAAAAGCAAAAAACAAATTTAGTTATATTTTATTTAATTTACAACTGTTCCAATTTTTCAAGTAGTTTAATGTTTTAACTTTTAACACATTTTCAATTATATTTATTTTTCTTTCGTTCGAATAAATTCGGTCAAATAAAAACACAATGTATAAAACAGTGAACAGAAACTTTTTTTTTGATAAAGATAAAACATCTTAATATAACCATTCCGAATATACTTATGTTTATTATTGAAAATTTTCGGATGTTTAACGGTTAATGTTTAAAAATTTAAATATGTTTTCGTTCACTGAATCGAGTGATTTCGAAATGAAAAGAATGTATACCAATTTTTATTTTCAATTAATTTCAAGCTGTAAGTTACCCACTCATATTTAAGTCTGATTTTCTTCTTTTATGACTTATTATTATATGCTTTGATTTTTCAGGCGATCAATCGACAACGGAAAGTGTCTGAAATCACCGACGACATATCTCAATGCATGGAACAGCAAACCCTGTTGATCGGTCAGGCCGAGTCGTCCATAACGACAAAGTCTTCAGAGTGGCTGAACACATTGTGCAAAGATCTCAAGAGGTGGGTTTTGGCCGTTTGTCTTGACTTGACGACAAAGTCAGTTAATCGCAGTCACGAATCGGTCAAAATTGGTTTTTTCTTATTAAATATCTTTGCAAAGTGTACTTTCTGTGTCGACTATTCGGTGATTTTCTTTTTCGTGCGACGTACAACAAAAAAAACGCAGAAGACAAATCAGTAAAATCAGTAAGAAATTAACAAAATAAAAAAAAAAAATGAATAAAAGCTTCATCAAGCTTATAGCCATAAACCGTGCAAATTGTATAGAACAATATAAAAACGTTTTAATTATAATTGCTCGAAGACGGCGTTAAAGATAGGCAAAACTGCACACAACATGTTAATCAATTAAAAAATATTGGAATTATTTCAAAAATAATTATTCAAATAACATTATAATTCGAATAATATTCTGTTCAAATCATTTTAAATTCAAATTTTCGAGCAAAACGTTTTTCGAATACCTAATTTTTAAACATATTTTCTTAACAGACTGCAATTGCTCGTTTGGTGTAATTAAATTAGTTTAAACCATCAATTCGTATAATACATTTACAAAATATATAAAACCGAATTAGTCGATTAATATCTAATTATTGTTATATTTTATTCAGAATTAAAAACAATGTTTTCTTAAACACACAACTGTTAATTTATTATTAATATTGTTAAAACCATGATGTAAGTAATTAATGAAAATAATATCAGTAATATAGATAGTCTATCTAATTGCTGAAAATCAATTACATGTTACTCGTCTAACTTGGCCAAGGCAAAACGTTTTAAGTTAAAACATGAAAATGACTAAAAAATCAGCTATTTTTAAACAGTTAAGACAACATAATATAACAACATATTACTATTATGGATTGACCAGACATCAAGTTATGTGTTATTTGTTTAAGTAAACCCAATCGATTGCACTCCATTCATTTGACTATTTTTATCAATTTTGTTATAGCCGTGAAGTCCACAGGAATCGTCAAAAGGTTTTGGAAATAGCGGCTTTCGTACAGTTCCAAAAGACAAGATGGAATGACAAGACAAAAAATATGAACATACCTTTTTGAATGTGCCTATCATTTGGTTTTTTTAATTTGATTTAGTCGTTTCGTTTGCTTTTAACAGACCGAATATAAACTGTACAGCTGAAAAATAAATTAAGTAAAAAAAAAAAGTGTTAATTAAAAATATAATTTATATTCGAATTTTTCAACATAAATTATAAGTGCAGATTTTAGACAAATCTTTTATTGTTTCAATACTAATTTTCGGGTTTTTTTTAAATATATTTGTTCATTTAATATAAATACAGAATAATTTTAAGTATCTACTTAATTAACATAATTTTGCTTTTATCTTTTTAACTTAAATATACATATAGATATATATTTCACTAATTTTTTTTTATGAATAAAACATCTATAGTTTTACACTATTACAGTTTAACATCAAGTTTTTTTTTATCATAGAACAAATTATTTACTTTTGTAAAAATAAAAGTTTTTTTTTATCTAGTTTAATAATTTAAAACGTTAGTTAATAATGTACTAATAACATTTATATTCCTACATATAGTAAATATATATATTATATTATGTTGTAACAATAAAAATATGTATACAATGCAAAGTAATTTTGACACTGACTAGTTGTGTTATATTCTAATAATCATGTATAAATATATTTATAATATATTTTTTTTTCAATTCATTACAATATAATTCAATAAGTAACTACCGTACTATATTAGATTACAAAAATAAATATATAAAATAAAACAAATGAACCTATGTAGAGAAGTTAAAAAACTCAAAACGAGACCACTTTTCCAGTTTTATTGGCGACACTATTAGGCTTGGCTGTTGAAAAATTAACAGTATTTGACAATTAATTGTGTGATGATAACAAAAACAATAACAATAAAAACAATATAATCTTTGCCTGCAACGACATTATGACATTGCAGTGTTATGGTAACTAATAGAATAAAATTAAAAAAATAAAACTCTTATTCAAAAACAAATAATTTTTATAAAAATAACTAGCTAAACTAATTTAATAAAAATTAAACAGTAAAATTCAAACAAAGCAGATCCGTTTCATTATTTAAATGCAATTGATAATAATTAATGTATTTAAAACACCCTCTTTAACAAATATATATATATATATTATGTAATATAACTTTATTTCTATTTAAAAAAATTAATATTTTTGTTGGCAAATTAATAGTAATTTAAAATGAAAATGGCTATGTTTGAAACTAAGTATTTTTTTTCTAAATATTTAGTAGACTTTTTAACAATAGTCATAAACTATATTATATTTATTAACTACCGAATAACAATAATTACAATAACAGTTTATGTATATATATTCTATTTGTCATTCAACAACAATATTACTACAGTAAAGTATACATTTGGGTTGTTCCCATGTCAAAATGTTTTATAATATGTTTTTGGAAACGAGTTAAAGATATAACGTTACGATTGTAAAGTAATAATAAAAAAATAAATACTATTAAAATAATAAATTATATTATCCAACAACAACAAGAATAAAAAATAAAATAAAAATATAAAACATTCATTATCACATATTAATGGTATACTATAAATCATATAATTTTTACTTTTTTTTATAACGTTTTATACTTAAACGATAAAAATCTAAATATTCTAACAACATATATATATATATTTTATTTTATAACGCCTAAGTATATAATAGTAAGGATTATACAACGAGGACACCGATCGATAATAATATTATTAAAATATATTCATATATATATATTTTTTTTTTTTGATAAACTTTTCTAACAAATAAAATAAATTAAAATATAACATTAGGTTTTGAGTTTGTATGAGTCCATGGGGATTTAATCGTTTATCACAACAAAGATATTAAGTACTATTTAGTAGTATAACACACAAGACGTGTTATGGAAAATATTTTACGAGATAAAAATATAATATAATAATAATTTTAAAAATATTATGCAACAACTAGAGAAAGACAAACAGTGTCCATCACACACCAAAAATGGCCTGACAATAAATTACAACGCAGACCTATTTCGAATGTCGGAGACTTTCTTTTGATAAAAAACTACAATTTATTTCAAAACAAACATAATCATTTCGAACAGGGCAGCCAACATACGCACACACACGCGCGGCGTTTAGGCGCTGCAGTTGTCGGCACTGTTTGTGTTGCTGTCGTTTAACGCGGACCACGCGCAGTGAATTTGAAAATGCAGTCTTGTCTCTAGAGAATAACCCGTATAGTTTTTCCTGAAATAAAAAACAAAAAAACGCTCCATTTCAAAATGCTTTACAACAGTTTAACAAACAGTATTCCAAAATTGACTTTCAGTCGACTGTTTTGAATAAAATTGTTTAGGATTAAAACCCAATGGCCAACAGCTATTAACTCTGACATACTTTGCCGAGTCCAGATACCAAGCGGCCTTTTCCAACTGCCCTTTGGACTTGTGCAGAAAAGCCAGCTCGACGTGGGCGTACGGCACCAGGTAGCGGTCCTCTTTGATTTTCTTCTCCATGGCTATTACACTCTTGAGACATTCTTCGGCTTGCAAAGGACTGTCCATGACTCGCAGGCAAGTGCCTTTGAGCAGCTGGCAAAGCGCTTTGTTGTCATATTCGTATTCGGTGCCGTATTGTCCTGTTAAAAAAAAAAACACCATAAAACACAACATTCATATTGACAATGTAAAACTGATAAAAAGGTCAAGTCGACGACCACGCTCCTTCTTTCACTGTCTATTTCAAAAAGGCTAATTTTAAATAAAGTCTTGAGATTAAACCATATCTAATAGCTTCAATCCTACAGTTCCAACGAGTGTCACTTAATCATTTTAACGGTTTTTTGTTTATCTTTAACTATTACTGGTTATTGCATACAAACCATAAGTACAGTATAGATTAGTATAGAACAAGTTACCAAAGTTGGGTCTAGTGGGTTAGGGGAGGGGTAAGTTTATTGGCTGAACTATGAAAAAAAATGTATACATACAAAAAAAAAAACTGTCGGATTTTTTTGACTAAAAAATGTCTTTACTAGATTTTATCAACTACTAAAAGTATTAAACTAAGCGCAACACGTTCAAAAAATTTTTTAGAATATTGAAATGTAGTAAATAAACTATTTTTTTCAATAATATATATAATATATATTAACTATACAAATAAATGAAAAAATTGTTATTGTGTTGGTTTTAGTAATTATTATCAAAATAGAAATTCCCAAGCATTAACAAAAATAAATTGGACTACATTTTATCATTTTTATTCACTAAAATAATAATTTGAAAGGTAAAAAATGTAAATATTTTTCTAGAAATTATTTTTTTGGTCAGAAATTTAATGTGTCTACAATATTAGTTAAATATCGTTTAAGTATGTTTTTAACTATTATTGCAAATATTTACAACAAGAATAAAATACAAAATATTTACAAAAAAAAGACAATTATAAAATATAAATAATTATTTTTCAAACGATTTCTTCTGTATTTGTTTGTTACTTTTTTTGTTTGTCGTGGCGGGTAAAAAATTACTATTTAACGGTTTAAATTAAAATAAATTAAGTATCCTATCTTCAAGAATTGTAGATTTATGATTGAAAAATGTTTACTAGATTTTATCAAGTAACATATAATTAGTGTAAACAATATCCTAAGAAATGCATTTGGAGTGGTTACAATTGACCAAAACACATTTTTTTTTTAATGAATAAATTAATGAATTTCCATAATAATTGTAGACCAAATTTGAAACTTAAATGAAAAATGTTGTGCTGATTTCACACGGATGACTCGTGTTAAGTTAAATTCGAACTTTTAACAAAAACAACTTATCGAATAGGATAAAAAAATGTATACTGTATTTTTAGCGGTTTCCTTCGTCCGTCGTCTTTTACACAACCGATCGATTCCATCACGGTATGTGATTTTTAGTATTTGTATTTCATTTATGCAAATGAGCATGCACAGTTCAAGGACACGAGGAGACGGTCTGCGCTTCTTACCGTGGTACAGTATAATAATATTATTAAGTTATTTAATTCTTGACACACAAACCTACACGGGACGACGGCAAGGTCAAGCGAACAACACTAAGGTTTCGGTCATTTCGACTGGTTTTTGGTTGTAAAACTGGTACAAAAAAAAAAGAAGAAGATATATATACATATACATGTAATACATGTGGAAATAGCAAACAATCGACTTTTATCTGATTACTAGTTAGTATTATACTAACAAAAAATACATAATGGTGTAGAGTTTGTTTGCTCACCGACAGAAACCATAAAAAAATACCTCAATTACATCAAAAGGACGTGTACATTTCTTTCTCTACATATTGTTTTTTAGTAGCTAAAATAGTGGAAGTCAATTGTAAAAAAAAATTCTAATTTAAAAAAATAGAAAAAAACAATCGTTTTTACTGCGTTCTAAATGTACTATGAAAAATACAAGCCATTTTAATCAGAACAAATTTCGCTGTCACAAGATGCTCGGATTTTTCTTAAAAAAGTCTAAATTTTTAAATGGGTTAAGTAGCCTATGTGTAAAACATACTATAATCGAACTACTTTAAAAAAATTAATTAAAACGCATTCATTTGTAATCGATTTATAATATTTCAAGAAGAACAAAATATATCAAGTTGAAATGCCTTTCTATTATTTTGTTTACTTATATAAATATTAGATGGATAAGTTTTCTTAGAATAGAAAATAAAAATATAATTAAAACAAAAAATAGCTATAAGTACTTGTCAAATGAAACAACTGATCAACAAAAAAAGTAAAAGCAAAATGTAATAGTTTTTTAATTTTTTATTTAATAGCGATCGAAAACTGTGTTACTGAAGAAGTATTTAATACCATATTATCATCTTTAATGTATTTCACAACATTAATCATACTAAAACGTACCTACCTCAATTTAATAGTGAACAAAAGTCCATTAAAAATTATCTACGTGGAATCGTTTATTTTATTTTCAAGAAACAATTACCTATACTTAACTACTTAATGAATGAATAAGTGGTTTGGCGTCGTCTTAAATAGCAGACAAGTCCGAATTGACAGAAATTTCACTCTTTTCTACAATAAAACGTTTTGTGTATAGAGTTGTCATTATACTTAATCCTAATACTTTTTAAGTACAAAATCATACCACAAATTATTTCTGTTATTATTTAAACTATCTCCCTTTCAACTTTTGTACTTTCCAGTGATTTACAAAGAAATTATATTAATTTATAAATTGATAGTATAACGATTACTTAAGTTAATTTTCCTTTTATTAACAATTTAATTGTTTACAATAAATATAATTATATTTTAAAGGCTTAATGAAACTTAACCAGTTTTTAAATGTACATAGCATTTACTATACATTGGTGCTTTGGTTATTTAGTGCCAAATTTATTTTAAAAATATTTAACTATGAAACAAAATTTAATTACCGTAAAAGAATATAGGACAGGGCAGTTTTAAACAAATCATATTATTGACTTTTTGTCGGTTATGACTAACATTATTTAATCACATTCTAAAATATTATATTACCTCCATTATTACAACATTTGAATTCATGATTGGTTTTGCAAAAATTAAGAATTTGAGTACTCAAACAAAAATGTTCTAAAACTAGAACTTTCTTTTGGAACCGTTAAAGTAGTATTGAACAACATAACGGCCAGTATTTTTTTTCTTTTGGACTATTATGGCGACAGTTTTAAAATTAAAAACTACACATTTTTTCTCATTCAAGAAGGAACATGAAAATAACTTGGGGCACATACCTACTTCTGAAAACGTATCATATACTCTTATCACTCCTTATCTCTTATCACCTCTTCTTATCTCTTATCACTTAAAAGTAAACAATACGTCACATTCTGATCTTATTAAAAAGTTTTCCACAAAACATATTCAAACGTTAAAACAAAACTTTATAAACGATACAATGTAATTGTTATTGTTTTGTGTTTTTTTACCGGGATTTTTCTCCAGGTCTCTGGCGTTTTTGTCGATTAGCTTGTACAAGTTGCCGGACAGTGATTTCTTTTTGCCGAAAACGCTGAACAGGTTCCACAAGTACAGCAGTTCAATGGTCGGCAAAAACAGTCGGTTTTTTTGGCTGAAGTATCTCTGCGCCTTCCTGACCGAAAATTTCTCCATCGGTAAAGACTTGCCGGCGATTCTCTGTTTATATTTTGGCACGTCCCTATTGAATGATAATATTACAATAACAGTTTAACCGTATTCAAAAAAGCAATACCGTCCATAAGGCGATCTGACACGAAGAAAGTGGCGGACTTAAGTCGACAGTAATTTAATTCTAGCATTGGCGTTAAAAATATTTAACAAAAAAAAACTATTTCAATTGGCAAAGAAATTAGACCATGAATATTTCTTATTGTACTACACGATGGATTGTTTATATCTTATCAATGTTTCCTTATCACCGTTCCATACTAACCCTTACTCATTCTCTCCCCTCCCCTATTTTCCAATTCCGTTTCATATTTATCAATCTGTAGTTGGTGTAAGTACTAAACATCAATAAAGACTATTGAAAAGGCAAAAACGTGTATGAAATTGTATAGCAAATTATTTTTTTTGATAGGTTAGTTGCCGTTGTTACAAATCATCACAGATTTATTTTTCATAAACCCGTCGACGTTGATTCACACATATACAAAGCAACTCAATTTACAACGGTAAAAGATTGACAACATATTTTTATAGAAATCGTTCAGGCCTTAAAAGGAACACCAAAATAGCAAAAGAAAAAGTCTCCACTATTTTGGGGGAAAAGGTTTTTGATGCTTGTCAACGTTTATTGATTTTGACATGTCTAAAATTATCAAAAAAAAGTCATTTGAAGTTAAAATATATGCACATTTTCGAGTGTTTGGAAGGGTAAAGGGTGACATTTTAATATTTTTGGCTCTATTAAGTACTTTTCAAATAGAATTTCTGGTCTATAGACTTACAACACACAGAAATCTGTGAAGAAAACATTGTCCAGACACAAAAAAATATATGATAACAATAACCAAAAAATATCGTTAAATCCGAATCTGGCATATCTTAAACCGTCTACAAAGTAGTGAAAAAAACGGCATTTTGTGGTGTTTTCAGTTTGTTTTGTATGTTTGAGTAATATTATAATAAATATAATATGTCAAATAGCGTTTTTGAATCTATTATTTTTTTCCCCTAAATTCAGAATTAACGTAGGTATAATTTTTATTCATACAAAATAGAAAAATGAAAATTATAAAAATGTGATCCACACCAAACGGTGTTTTTACAAATTTGAAGGCGATTCAAAAAACAACCAGACGTGGCATTTAGATTAAAAAAAAAATTAGATTCAGTTAAAGACAATCATTTTTTAGTTCTTGTTCGAAAATCTTGTGTCGTACGGCACAATTAAAACGGTCTAAAGTGATTTGCGAAAAATTACCAAGGCAATGTGCACCTTAACAAAAATAGGTGATCTAACCTATTTTTGTAAAATCAGAGGATCTACTCTGAACGAGCAGAGCTGAAAAATGTGTACATTTTTTGGGGGGGGTTTTTTTCACTTTAAATAGTTCAGTTATATAATTTATACAAACAATATTATAACAGCTCAGGTTTTAACCATTTGCATCACGAGCGGTCGATAACGGTTCGTTATCGTTATGGATATGATGCACACATATTATTGTCAGTGTCACGGTCGGAGCTGTGTTGCGTGCACAATGGTGTTATGATAAATTAAACGGACCGTTATTATTATTATTAAACATTTTGTTAGTATTATACTTACAACATTAATTGATTGACGGTATTGAGGTCGTCACGAGACAGGCCGTTGTACCCACGCATAAGCATTATGCATGCGCGCTGATAGTTGTAAATCGTTCTCGACCACTTGCTCTCCTCTGCCAATTTCACTGCGTACACTTCCGCCCGTTTCCAATCCATAGCGACGCTTTTATAAACAATAAATTTAAAAAAAATTATATTAAAACACATATGTTGAATCCTCAATTACATTTCTTTTTTTCCAATGCTAAAGCACTAAAACATCTTGGGGTCCTAAGGGTTCCAATTCTGATAGGTTTTTGACTCTTCACTGCCATCATCGATTTTCCCTTATAGTGGTAAGGGGAAGCTAAAAATCGATAATGTTTCCCTCTCCTCTTTCTTACAGTGCCAACACTTGAAAACTTTATCCATGATTTATGAGTCATGTAATGGTCAGATCTCCTTGAGATATAGTATTGACCATGGGGCACGTGGAATACACAAATTATTGCTTACTGTTGTTTCGGGTAACTTTTAATTAACGTGTAATACTTAGTTAGCATTTAAGCATTATATTATTGTACTCAATTCTGTTTAAATGACGTTGTTAATACTTGTTTTTCACAAGCATTAAGATAATATGCTTAGCTTGCATTCTTGTACTATAAAACCCCAAAGGAACAGCGAGTATTCATTCTCAATTGTTTTATCTTGCTTCACCCGAGCAAGTTACTGTTTGTGTAAAATATATATGTTATTTACAATGAATCAAACCTACCTTGGCAGTTCTTATTGTTTTACTAAATATCAGTTAATTACTACAGTTCTAACACTGTCCAAGATAGTATTTGTATTGGACTCTACGGTTCGTTACAGTCACACTAAGTTAGGATAAACTTGGCAAGATACTTTGCTAGTGGATCTGTATACGGTTTGTGCGGCTTTGCTCAGAGCAATCCTCGGTACACGTGTCTTTATAACAACACTTGGAGTGTCCCTTGGGGAGACTTTGAGTATCATTTTTACCTGTTCGCCCAACACAATTCCCAATAGCAGATATGGTGAAATTGTCGCCACGAGGACTGCGATTCGACCGATGCCGTGTACCACTTGACCGCCTCGTCGATGTTGCCCTTCATGAACTCCAACCGGCCTTTGAAGTACAAGAACCACGCACCGTTCGGGTATAGCTGTGCCGGACAAAAACATTAAAACGTTAAGTCCACTGATAGGTCTTTTGCAAAGTCACACGGTGGTGCCGATTACAGTTTAGGCGGACAAAAGTAATAAGACAAATAAATCCACCTTTCCCTCGAAGCCGTTGGGGGGTTTCCTGTCTCTTATCAGCTGATTCTCCTGGTATTAAGATTTCGACATTTACCCCTCCCCTCCCCATCGTTCACTTTGAATTTACCTCCCTACCCTTACTTTTGCTTTCTTCTCCTCCACTCCCCTTCTTACTTTTTAACGGGCATATCTTGATATGACATTTTTTTTTCTTCTACAATTTATGTTCTATACATACTTATGCTAAGTTAGAAATTTTTAGCCAAAAAACATGTTCATTAGGGTGTAGCGAAAAAAAACAATTTTCAAAATCGTTTTCGTAATACATTACAAAACTAGCGTGTTGGTGTATATAAACCGAAAGTAAAAAAAAAATGTTTTTAAAAAAATATTTTCCCCGCCCCAAGTCAAAAAACCAATATTTAGCAAAAGTATTTAGACTTTCTATCATAACTCAAAAAGTTTTAATATTAAAAAAAATTAAAACCTATTATTTTGTAGAGAACTATATTCTGCATATTATAAGTGTACAGTTTTATTTTTTTTTTCATTTTTTTTTTAATCGCCAAAAATAAAGTTCAAAGCTTAAAAACACGCAAAAATATTTTTTTTTTAACTATGATTTAATTTTTAAAGTGAATAATAAAGTTTTTTTGAAAAATTAGTTTTTCTACGCTCTAGACTAGTTTATTTCAAACCAAAATCAGATTTGAAAAAAAAATTATGATATATATATATAAAACAACCATAAACAAAAAAAACAAAACCCGGATTATGAAAACTTGTAAATAATGATTTCTCAGAATCACGAAATGGTAGTTTATAATAATATTACTTGTTTTATTTTTTGACGACTGAATTATCGATTGATGGTCGAGGAAGGGGGCTCATTGTGTTTGCATACATATCACAGGAATACATGTTTAGCCAGTGTTTTCAGTATATTAATTTTCACTACAAACAAGATGTGTGCAAAAACTCGATAAGTTTTAATCGAATTCCCTATAGTCCAAAACAACTAACTAGAAATGTATTTACCGCATATAAAGATATGCTTTGCTATTTGTTGTTTCTCCCAAGTGTTGATAGAGTAACAAACATTTTTGTTTTTCATAATCCGGGTTTTTTTTTTGTTTATAGTTGTTTTATATTATTATATATTTTTTTGTCAAGTCTGATTTCGATGTGAAATAAACTAGGCTAGAGCGTAAAAAAACTAATTTTTCAAAAAAACTTTATTATTTACTTACATCTTATCTTTACGAATAAAATGAAAAAAAAATGTAATAAGATTTGTTTAATTATGAAACCAAAAATGTAACTTAAAACATGTTTTATATTTATGTATATATGTAGTATAAATTCGTTTCGGAGCCATGTTGCATAATACATGATTATTTTAAAATTTTTTAATTTCTTTAAATAATGTTTTGTCAAAAAAATTGTCATTATTAATTTTGCCCGCTTAAGTATTATAATTTGGCCAACTGTGGATCATGGGTATTATAGCAACAAGTGGGGTGGGCGCTGGGGAAGTCCAGACCCTTTAAAAATTCTCAAAGCTCCCTCGGAAGGACGTTGGATCGTAAACGTGTCTCATTAGCTGAATGTCTGTTATCAGTCTTTTCTTATCAGCCGATTCTCTTATCAATCATCTGTTATCAGCCAATATTCTCTTGCCAGTTACCCGGGATTTGGACTTCCCCGGAACCCCCTCTGTAATTTGGCCAATAGTCAAGGGTTTACCGCCAGCTGTTGGCGCAGAGCCGCGTCGCAGAATTCCAAATCGCCGTCCTCTTGGCTGAACACGTACACCACCACCAGGTTGTATGTGAGCAAAGTGATGACGCACAGCACGTGCCTCAGACCGGTTGGCAGTTGATAGCATGCGTCCAGCTCGGCCAGGCCTTGTTGCTAAGCAAACGTGTCGAAAATACAATATATTAAAACCGATTTTTCTTATCTACCAACACCCACCTGTTGCCATTCTATAGGCAACAGGCGTATCACTCACTTTGCTTCCGGAAAATCCTATAAACTCCAGTAGCTTGATCACTTTGGACGGTAGCAATGAGATCATCTGTAAAACGACAAAAATTATCATTTGTATATTTTTTTTATAATTTGTTTTTATTGTACTACATTTTGTTAAAAAAAAAAAGAACAAAACAACTCTACACGAATTAAGGACTAACATATTATTAAGTATGGTATACATTACACAAGAAATCCTTGATATTTTTTCCAAACTAAATACACAGTAGTCGGATTGGACAAACGATAAAACAATTTCATTCAGAACAAAAAAGAAATTAACAAGAATTGGACAAATTTTTGTTAAATAACGAATAACGACAAAAAGAAATTGATGAAATACCCAAATTACAAAGAAAAATTACATATCTAAACTGAGGATTTTCGATTAACAATATTCAAATAAAAAATGCTTTTAATAGACTTCCAAATGCTTTTATTGCGACACCATAATTTTTTGTACGCTTTTTAAATTTTTTTTCATACCTGTAAAATAGTTCTGTTTATTGTAAAAGTATATAATTTATTAAAAAAAAAATTACTACAGCAAGATGGGTAAGAATAACACTTCTCAATATACAGTATTTTTTAATTTTTTTTTTAAAATCCAAAATATCCATAAAAGTAATCTATGTGTTTTTAACAACTTCTTCGCTATGATTGCTATTTAAAATATCTAAACGTGCAATTGAAGATTTAATATAAAAAGCTTTTGTAATTTTTCGAATCAATGAGAAAACTATTCAAGGAAACATGGGACTTTTTCTCGAGTCGGTGCGATTTAAATCTATTTTGGCATAAAATCATAAGTTTTTTCTCATTGAATTCAGACAACTGACAGTACTTCTATTAAACTAAATAAAATAAAACAAACTAACGATTTCATTTTTACAAAGTCATGAGTTTTAAGTTGTCACCGTATAACAACATCATACTAATTATGTCCGATGGTCGTTCTCGTCGGTTTAGCTTAGTAAAATTAAGTATAGTTCTAAACACCGAAAATTAAGTATAGTTTTACAACACCGAAATTTAATTATGTTATGCTAAACTATGTTTAAAAATGATAAGCAAAACTCATGAGAACGACCATGAATAATATGTTATTATAGTATGTCTGAATTAACAGAACAAAAACTGTATTTTTTTATTTTAAAAATATAAAAAAATAAAACAGTACAACAAAGAGGTACAAACAACTGTCCTAAGCCATAATTTTGTCCATGTAAAATGTATAATTAAATAAAATGTATAAAAACGTAGAGCTAAATATGTTTTTAACGGATAATGTGGTATTGTTTGAATTTCATATTACTTTAAGCTAACAAAATTGGATAGGTAGTTTAACATTGTTTCAATTGACTTTATTAAAAAATACATAATATGAAATATTTAAGCGTTGGACTCAACCTAGACAACTTTTATCTAAACAGCAAATACAAAATTGATGTCTTTCTTTGAAAAGAAATTGTGACACAAAATTATAAAAAGATGGATCACGAAGTGGCTATTGAAATTGAAAAAATGTTCTCAAGTTAAAATTTGTCGAATGAAATAATTTTAATTTCTCATTTTGATAAAACGCAAAAAAAAAATCACCAGAAAGCACTTAGAGTTAGGGTAAGTGGAGATTAGGGGAGGTAAAAACATTTTTTTTAGACACAGTTAAGTATACACATATACAAAATATGTATGTAACTATGTGTTAAGTAGCGATGCGTGTAGGTAACATAACCGACCAAGTAATGGCCATGAAGTGAGATATCAAGTTTTCAAACGGTTTGCGATTACTATGATATTATATTTCCAATTGGAAAAAACGACCAGGCATTTATATTGTTTTATGTGTACAACATGACCTTATGCCGTCGTTCGACATTCAAAGTGATACTATTACACTTTTGGCTGTTTTAAGAGTTAGACACAACACGACTGAAAAAAAAACAATGTACATAAACCGTGTTAACACATTTACACTGGTATGCTAACCGTTAATGACACTTTTGGGTCGTGTCCTTGTTTGGAATGTACATATTTTGTTTTCAGTCAGCAGAATGCAACTAAAGTTGAATTATAGCAAATTTGTCCTGGTAAAATTGTATAAAATAAAAATAAAGCCAGCTATATAATCACTATACATAAAAAAATACACAAAAGTGTTAATCTCTTCCGGTTAGTTTATAGTTTGTTTTAAAAATAATGAAAACCTAAATTTTTGGTTTGCTTACAACTTTCTAAGATGATTCCGAAAAACAAATAGACTCGATTTAGCAGTAACAGTTTCAACAAGAAATATTTATGTAGGTTCACCTCAAAATCAAATATACTTGTGTCAGTATTGATATATTGCATTCAATTGGTTTAAATTTATGAAAATTATAACTAGTAATAGACAAATTAAACTGTATATTATATTTGCGACTAGCTTAAATAATAAAAATCAATCACCACAGAGATTTGGTAAACAATTTGTTCATTTATTATATATTTAATTTATGTACTTCAATGGTATGCTTTATATCCGTAGGGGGGACATATAAAAATATACATTCCAATATACATGTCCAATTATAAACTAATTTGATTAATCATCGTGCATCAGCAATGTAGCTCTATAACAGATGTCACACAATATCTACCATGGTAAAATTTGCCTTTATGAGACAGCAAAAAAACAATATTTTAATATTATAAAAATTTGACTCGAGACCTCTAAAAAATAATCAACTTTTTAATAATAAAAATTATTAAAATTATTTAATTACAACTACAATAAAACATTTTTTATTATTTGATTATAACTATAATTAATATTTAAAAATTTATTCAGTAGACAGGTAATTAAAAATAATATTTTAGTGTGAAGTGTGAAGTGAATTAATACTATTTTTGGCTTACATTAAAACAAAACAATTATCTTTCTAGTAAAAATATACTCAACAAAATTATGCGGAAATAATTTAATGATGGACACACGCGAGACATTTGTGGTAAATCATTGTTAAGCATCTGACGGCTATGACTGATTTTTCCTAACCTTCTGTATCCGGAAGCGTGTTAAGATATCGCCCAATGACATAAATAATATATATATGTATACATTTATGTGTTGTTCAAATTTGTTATTGTGTATTAGATGGATTGGCACGGTATAAAAATAGGAGGTACATAAAGGCAATACGAATCCAAACATAGAATAAAGAGGTATATTTTAGTTTTCTCTTTTTAAAAACTTTGTTTATATAGTAAACTAGTGTCCTAACAACGTAAAATAACGTACAATCTAACCTAACCTTACCTACAGTGGCCCAACTAGATGTTCTGGTAACCACAGTGTAAAGCTAAACATGATGCTCTCAGTCTTTGCCCCTTGGAATTTATATCACTGTTTTTGGCGAATGAGCACAGACAAACCGCTTTCACATTACTTCTCTAAAAATAATTTATACACCTAGGCCCTAGGTACTACATACTAGGTACACGAGTGATCTTTTTCATACAAACCGAGAGCTTGGGGTGCTATACTTATATTAATTATTCCAGTGGGTTTTCACCGAGTTTTTAAAACAATGACTAACCAAGTTGAACGCTCCAATGCCGAGCCGGACGCCGCTCTCGAAATGCGTTTTGTACGGTTTTTGTTCTTCTGTCCAAGTGCGCGAGTTGAGAATATGATTGCACTCTCTGCAAACGAACAAACAAAATATGCAAATGCAATTAATACAATGACCCCCGAGTGGTTACCAACACCGCGGTTAGGGTATGCCGGGACTAGGTATAATACGGACTTGTAAGAGTTGTAGCAAGACCGTATCTTGATTCCGGCCCGTAAGAAACTGACTAGTGTTTCGTCTTCGATGAACGTCAACAACGCCTTGAGCAATAGCGCTTCGGCAAAACACAGTTCGGCGTGTAGCTCGTCTAAAAAAACAAACAGCAAATAATATAACAGAATATTATATTTTCACGTAGGTATATTCAAAATATGCACAAGCACAGCCCCCCGGTCGAATTGGTCCAATAGGTTCAAATCCTCGTTGGCAAAAAACAGTATGGCAAGTAAAGTATCTCGAGCAGAAAAAAAAACAATTGCCGGTGTGTAGATTTTCTTGACTTTTGGAAAATTTTTCAAAAATAATATACTTTTTATTATTAAGCAGTTAATTCAAAAGCTGTACAAATTTAAGGGGAATATTGTGTTAATTATAATAACACAACTTGCAGTGAATGAACGATATCGGATAAAGTTGTGAAACTCTTCACTGCACTTCTACGTGTCAAAGTGATTCTAATAACACCTTAAAAATTGAAAATTATACTTGGCTGCTAAAAGTGACTATGTAAGAGTGAATAAACTGTCAACGGGTAGCTGAAAATTATATATTTATTTATCGTTGAGACGATATTGCCTATTAGTAACAATTGATAACTAACCTGACCTCTAACCTAACAGAAAATACAACCGTGCCCTTACAATATTTTTAAATGATATAATATAATAATAGTTATACCGTGATTTCAATATTATACCATACCCGGAGTGTATGAATCATAATTAGGTTTTTTCATCATGTTGCCGAGGGTCTGAGTCAACGTGGTCTTCTTTCGGTACACGTTGCATAACCGGATACTGGTTTTGAGCGAAGCTGATGCTTTTTGTATGCTCGTCTGAAATAAATATTTATATATATATATAATATATAAAAAATGTATATATTTCTTTAAACTTATTATTTCATAAAATATCAGTTTCACATTGTACACTAGAAAAAAAAATGGTTTGTCTCCTGACTTTGTCCTGACGTTTTTTATTTGTTTGAGAATTATTTAAATAACGTTTTAATCTAATATTGTGATAATAATTTTAAATACAGTTTGTAAATATGTATTTCAATTAAATTAATCATTAATCAATTAATCAATTTCAATTGAAACGTTAAAAAGTTATTACTGAAACTACTCTAATATCTGATATATCTTACGATACTAAAGTAACATCTGAAACAAGATAATAAGATGATCAACAAAATTTAATAACAATTCATTAAGATTGTCTGAACCTTATCATTTTTCTCGTTCAGTATTGTGTGGTAACACATTTTTCTATTTAGACTTTTTTTTTATTAATAAACCCTCTCCCTGACTTAAAAGTAATATCAGCTATTGTATTTTTTTTTCATTAAGATTTTGAACGTTTTATCTCTATTTGTTGTTTTAAATCAAACATTAATTTTGCAGTAAACAAAAATGTATGTATTTTCCAGATTTTTTTATTTGCAAGTTGTTATTTGTTGTTTAATTAAAAATTCGAGTCGTTGCATGTGAATCACATGCAAAAAATTTATAGATTTATAATGAACACTTATAGTTATTGTACATAATATATTCTTGTTATTTATAATTATACGCATTAAGACCGAATTAAATAAAAAAATTTAATTATTTGTTAACACATAATTATTGGTTAAATATTATTGAACTGACAGTTCATAAATCTTCTTAACCTAACCTTAATTAAGGTAATTTATAGGTTTTCTTAATTTTATAGAATTATACTACTATAAATTATTAGATTCTTGTTTAAACAGGAAATGTTTTTAGGATAGTAATAAATAAAAATAGAGTCCCATAACGTCAGTAAAATGTTAATGAAATCCAACCGATAAGTAATTCAAGAAGAAAGTGGTAACAATGATGAGAATAATCTGATGAGAAATTATTTACTTAGATATGATAACAGGAAGCCCAGACACATTTCATAATTTTTCGAACTATGTTTATACTTTAGTGTTTTAGGTTTACCTCAAAATAACAGATTTTTTTTACTAGTGTATGGATTTGCAATATTAATAAATGATTACGATAATTAATCTAGAATAGGTATTTTTTATAGTTTTCGATAATTATGTGAATATGCGCTCATTTATATGATATTGTAAATAAGATGGTGAAATGAAGATTTAGTTAATATTATGTGTAATAACAGTAGAAGTGTTAGTCAAATGTCTCATTTTAATACTGTTCTAAAATGTACACTACTCTACAAAATATACATACAGGCATTCAAGTGAAAATTAAAATAAACGTTGTACACAAAAAGTCATTAGATACAAAATATAAGAATATTGTGGTTTGTACATGTTTTTAGTGAATATATATATATATTTTTAATAATATTTATAGATTTTTCCTAATTTGTGGTAATTGGAGCCAATATTTTTATAAAGTTTGAGATTTTAACAATTAAAATCCAACGAATTGCGACTCAATTTTTTTTTTATGTACATTTACAAACATTCGATGTCATGAAAGCGTTTTACTAACATCCAAAGTACTAAAATTTTGAAACATCATTGGCAGTCTGCAATTACAGTAGGAGTTAACTAAATTTCGTATTTTCACAAAAATATCAAGATAGTCAAATCGCGTGAATCGCACGTAAGTTGTTAACGACGACCTCCAAGTATTTTCCTAACACTTTTAATTATTATTGCCCTGTGACAAATCCGCTTTTTACGACAAGTTCACCGGTGACTCAAATGACGCCAAGTGCAAGTACAAATCGCACGTAGGTAAAAACTATATATGTATAAAAAAAAAATACATAAAAATATAGGTTTGCGAGTAGGTACTGTAACGTTATTAAACCAGTCGATAATTGGCGAAAAACTACCTATAATTTTATTTTTATTACTAGATTATATAACGTTAACAGAACCTTGCCAATTGGATTTGCCAAGGTGTACAAAAAAATTCAATGTATACAACACACACAAACACATACGCACGGTTTTGTTTTCTCCGAATAATTAATAAGTTCTAATGATAAGATAATAAAACAATTAAAATAGTATAAACAAATCAAGTTCGCGTTAATAAATCCGAGGACGGACGTAATTGGTAACCTTGAATCTCTATTATGTTTTGCATTTTTTAAAAATAACTATTTTTACAACCAACAAGCGGTTTTTAATAAAATACTCGTACGCCATTTAACGGGTTGTTGTGCAGCCTCTAATGATGGTTTATAGCTATTTAATAATGACATATGGGGTAAATTATGTACCAATTAAAGATAAATGGTTAATTTTTTTTTTTAATTTTCACGTATAAATTGTAAGTGTAACCAAAACAATAATAAATACCTGATCGAAGGTGAGCACCGCCTCAAGAAACTGAAATATGGCCGTTCCCATAGTGTGATACATACTCGTGCCGACCCTGTTAAAAGCAAATTAATTAAAACGTTTTATTTAAACAATTTTCTTTATAATATTATCAGGGCGGATACGATAAGGGTCGATCGTCTGGCTATAATATTATTTCTTGCCGTTATTTCAATTGCACAGACATTGTATGCCTTTAGGCTATACCTCAGCAAAATAAAAAAATAAAGTTACCACACTGGCGAAAGGGTTTTTTTTATATTTGTAATTTTTTCTTTTTTTAGTTTTGATGAGTAGTTACAACAATGTATTTTTATTTTTATTAATCTAAAGGTTTTTTTTTTGTAATATATTTTAGCAAGTCTATACTCTTTAGAAAATCTAAATGGTATTACAAAGGGCCAAAATTTAAAAAGTTAACCCTTTCCATTTCAAAATAGAAAAAAAATTTAAACCTAAGGCGTCATAATTTTTATTTTAAATACTGAGTTCATTTTTAATTTATGTATGAAATATTTCCTAATAATACTATGAATTAACGTTGACAAACCTATAAAATATCTAAGACCCAAAGCCTCCAGAAGGGGTGGAAACTTTTCTTTTATTTCACTTTTTTAGATGAACTTTTAAGGGTTAGGTCTGACAATTAGACAGATAGTACATCTTGAGTGCGGCAATAATATTTTTTTCATTAAGGAAAAAATTACAACTTAAACCGTTATAACAGTCTATAAACAGTCAACAGGTAAGATTCTGAAAGTATATTAATTTAATGTTGACATATTATTGCCTATTGGTAACAATAGCAACTTACCTAACCTAACCCAACCTAACCAAATAGAAAATAAAATGTAACACAATTTTGAACAGGATTTTTATCAATTCCGTCTACAGATATAAAAAGATTGCAAAATAGTTTCATTACGTTGTTAATAAATTTAGGATCTGTGGAAAACAACGGCCACAAATTTGTATAGAAAGACGATCTGAAAGTGAAATTTAAAGCACATTATTGTCATTACAATGCCTTAGTCGAAAGTTTTATTTCTACCAAATATAGATTGATTCTCATCGAAGCATTAACATATTACTGTAGACCTGTGATCTCCCCACTACGATTTCCACCGACCCCCACACTATCCTAGCTTTTTTGGGGTGGTTTTTCTTGTTTAATTGTAAGGGTGTCCATCTCGCTTTTGATGAGGAAAGAGGTACACACTTTAAATTGTTGGCCCAATTAACAAGTACCTATGCATGATTTCTGATCTATAGACTTATCATTTTTTAGGAATCGGTTTAGCGATTGAAAATAATTTATCGGTGGATTAGCCACAAAAAAAAATACACACCATTGTAAAAATACCTTCTAAGCTCCGCATGGAAGCTGAAAAACAAACAAAACCAAAAAGAGCAACCTAGCCAGCTCGAAAAAGAACCAAGTCAATACAAACATGGCCCATTAAGATTAAATACAGGTAACCACGTTTATTTTTCGCCTAAATAATTCACTTATTATAATTTTTGTTTTACTATCGCAAAGACCTCGATTAAAAAAAAATTGACAGATGGTCGATTATTTATAGTTTTATTGCGCTATAATTGATATAATATTTTTAACGAGCTAGTCAATTACATTATATAAATGTTACAGTTTAATTATTAAGTATTAACAGAATAAATTAATACAGCCGGAAGTTAAAAAACTACAAAATTATAAGTTTTTTATGTGTAAAACTCGGCTAATTAGTGTGTCGTGTATTATTTTTGCATGTTTTTTTAATTTTTTAACGACTTATTCTAAAACATGACAAATATGATAATATTTTATATTGTATTAGTTTTAATAGCACAAGTAAAATAAAGTTGTATTTTTAAAATTACGGACAATCTGGTAAGACTGATTAGGCACAAAATATGTTCCACGATACATTATACGTCTAATTTCATTCGGTAGTGAGAACTCTCCCTAGCAATTAATCTTTTTTTTTTATTAAAAAAATTTGAATCTTAGCTACACCGCCCCTGCCCCAAAACAAACCATCAAAATTTGTCTTCAAGTTTTCAGAAAAAACTTTATATTATAATGGATCGGCTAAAAAAAATTAACGGTTTACTTGACATTTTGTTATGTTTGTCAGTTTAGAATTAAACTGAATATTATATCTGAAAATATTTAGGATGATACTTTTAGTAGAAAAAATAAAAACCTATATTTTTCAACAATTGAGTTTTCACTAGTTTAAGTTAAATTTTTCATAATTTATATTAAAAATAAAAATTTATTAAATTTATTTAAAAGTGATTTACATAACAATGCTAGTACAAAATCTGAGGCCAAATTAGGCAACAAGTACAGTTGGTGTGTATAGTTTGCAATATTCTTTTAACCAAAACATAAATACGTTTTTTATTTAATGAAATCACAATGAAGCAAGGTCAATGTGGATAATTGGAGATAACATAAAAAATCGATAAATGTAGCTAAATATTTTGAAGAAATACTACCCGCCATTACAGATAGGCGGCTACAGAAGGGACACGAATAACCTCTCCAGAACCTAAGGTGTCAGAGATACAAAGATGATGAAGTTTCTTGGAAAGAGCAATTAGTAAGTAGCAAAGTAATAAGTAATATATAGACTACAATATATATATAGTAGTTTTAATTTGTGGTCAAAGCCAAAGTGTCCGAAATCAGTATTATAAGAAAAAAAAATATTATGAGGCCAAGTGTTCCAATAAATACACCGATATTGCATAAATATGCACAATAAATTAAACTATGAAACGATAATCTACAACCAATTAGATTGCTCTTTAACACAAATAGACACACTGGTGTTAACGCAGTATATGATAATTAGCAAAATTCCATATACTGAAAATTAGCATAGAACAATAATAATAGTAAATACAAAAAAAAAAACATATTATTATGCACTTATAAATACTTTGAAGGACAGTGTCAAGAAAACATTAATTACAAGTGAAAAATGCACACAGCCGTTGCGTAAATCCTATAACAACTCTGAGTGTACTCTATTAATAGGCTATAATTATTATTGCAACCTTAGTAACAAAAATCCTATTAAGAAACAAAAACACAAGTTCAGGAACTTAATTAAATAGGAGCCAAAACATTTTATCCAAACAGAATATGAAATGGGAAAAATGGAATACTCTCCAATTATATAAATTATATAATATTGAAATACAAAAAAACAAAATATTGTTAAATATTGAATCAAAAATAACTTTGTTATTTCACTACTTTTATTAATTCACAAAATTTATCATTTTCACGATGAATTACAAAAACAAAAAATGGAATATAAATTAACTATTGAACTTAAACATATTTCGTTTTTTCATTCTGTTCTATTTATAAAAAAAAATCATTTTTACAATTAAAATCTTATATTATACGCCCAATTTTTTTGTTTAAACGTCTTTTTTAGTTAATCTATTAAATTATATTAATTAAGAAAAATACAAAATTACAAAAGGTTATTTTAAAAAAAATTGATGTTTGTATCTACCATTAATGTCATTAACCTTCGTCTCTTTAATTAAAATATATATGATCGATTTCCTAATTGGCTTTATTAAAGGAAAATTATGATGGCCATTAGCAAATGGCGTTTATTTCCCATACAAATGCAATATGATGTTCTTTTCATCGTGAATATTTATGATTTAAAAAAAAACACAAAAAATTAGTTGTTTTTTATACTATGCACACATGTCAATAATGCAAATACATTTTTTTTTAAATAATGCATCGTGTTTATTGAGTTTTCTTTTGTTTATAAAATACATAAAAGCGCACGCTTTATGTGTTTGTACATAATTAGTATAATAATTTTTTTTTAACAAATAATTAGAGTAAATATTCAGACAACGAGGAAAACGTTAAATATATCGTTTCGACATCATGCCACGCTATTGAAATTACATGACCATGAAATAGGCAGAACAAACGTTATTGTAAAAAGTTCCAATTTCACACAAATACTGTTTTATCCACACTTATTTCACTATAGATATTGACATAAAAAGTTTTAAAAATTAACAATATTAATAATAATAATATCGTCATCCGATTTGGTTTTCCCCTTTTTATTTAAGTTTAAATAAGAGAGGAGAAGGTCGACGGACAACCCACCCCCCCCTAATTATTACAAGAGATTTTTTTGGGGATGGAGAGCAACATTTGTATTTGACCTTAAGGCGGTGCTTAGAAGGAGCCACTAGAAATGTATATTGTTGGATTCTTTGTTGTATAAGAAGTTATTGTGTTAACTACAAACGTATGTATGTAGTTTACAGTGTGATAAGACTCGCACACGTTATTTTTTATCGTTTGTATAATATATTCAATTATTTTATTTATTAAACCGTGCCTAATATTCATAACTTTATTGTTGCAACTGATCAATGTAAAGCCGATTCTTCAACTCAACGACCTTTGCAATCGCTGTATTATCATTGAACCGAGTTGTATCGTTTTACAAAATACACTAGTTAAAACAAAATATTGTATTATAACAATGCAAGTATATTAATCACACTATAGCAATATTATTATTATGTAATATCCTTTAATGAGGCTACCTTACTGGCAATAGGACCCCATACATGTTTTGTATTTATTTATAATAACACCCATTCACAGCTATAAATTATCATTTTATAAATCTCAAGTTCACGGGATTTTAACAAATATACATCAGATCTGGTCTAACTAACAACTATAAATATATGAAAAATAATAATTAAAATTTAGAGTAATTAAAGAATAATTTAAAAAATTTAACACCTTGTTAGATATTGACTTGGTTAATCAATCGCACCGTTTACTCCATTTATAAAGATTGTTAATCGTTTAAATAAATATTCTCTGGGAAAATTTAAATTTATAAAAAAAACTATACCAGGTACGTACCACGGTTGTAAAATGTTTTGGGCTTCGTCGAATTTGTTGTTGAAAAAGCAATGGATGGCGATTTTTGAGTCCTCCAGGGCCGTGTCCAAGTCCATGGTACAATGCCTGTAAAAATACAACACCGCGTTATACTAGGTAATAATAGCAATAAAAAAACGATAAAAACAAATTTAACGCTTAACAAAACCTTAAAAAAAAAGTCTAAGGACCTAAACCTATTGTTATACGGCTTTAAAGGTAATAATTATATTGCGGTTAGGTCGGCAAAGTAAAATTTTGTTTTTTTTTCAATCCACTTGACACACGGTCGTAACACATTGACTTCCGGCGAAAGCCAACGAGCGATTAAATAATAGTTGATAAAATTCAAACAAATATTTAAAAAGAAAAATAATAACCTTTTAATACCTACTACCGTTTCCTTATCTTCCAACGCTTTTCGTTTTTATCGTGATTCTTTTAACGCCCCACACCAATATTATCTCTCTGAAACTCTTATTACAATTTTATAGTCTTTCTTTTTAAAAACATTTTTGTTTATGTTATATTACAATATTAGACATCAGTATTTACATTTTTATCTTATTTAGTATTTTCTAGAGCTGTAGCGATTTTGGAAACTTATATACATATATTTATATATATATATATATATATATATATATATATATATATATTTAATTAAATGTATAAACTGTCAATTGGTCGATAACCAGTTTTGAATAAATAGTTTCAAAGTTATTAACGTTTGATATTTAGTACTGGAGGTAGTCGAGTAAAGCAAGCAGATAAAAATAACTCCACCCTTCTTCCCGTCCTAAATTTTAGATTAAACCTAACCTACTGAACCAGTCAAAATATTCTAATTCAGTAATTCAGTTAAATATGTGCATTACCACGTGAGTAACATTTAAGTTTCAAAAGTCGATAAAGCTCTAGAAAATACCAAAAAAAAGTAAACATTTGAATATTAATGTAATATAATATAAACAAGACTGTTTTGAAAAAGAACAACTACACAATTTTAATTATTCTAAGAGTAAACAAGACGTGTCTTACACGTTGAATGATGCATCCGGTATAACAATCTTAGTAACATTCTCAAATTACACATTTACGCGTTAAGCACACTATTAAATTATTGTGACTACTTTGTTCTATTATAATATCGTTCACGCCGTGTAAACATTATTATATCATCGTGTACAATTTCAACGGTGTTATTTATTTATGTATATTTTCAAAATAGTACATTATTACACGTATGACTCAAAATTAGAACATTTCAATGTGTTCGCACAACTAGACCGATATTTTACTTACCTAAAAGTAATTATCTACTGTTAAATGTTAATATATTCCCACAAGGATAGGGTAGAGAGACCTTGAACGGTTAAAAGGTCGAGGAAGACTACTAAAAACGTTTTTCGGTCGATAAATCAAACGTGTGTGCTTGAACGGCTACTGTCGGGTTAGGTTAAAATTACTGATCTTGTTGTAAAAATAAAGCACGGAAAATTTAAAAATGCCTTTTTGTATTATAATTTTTAATTTTACATCCTTTACAAATTGCGTTGCAAACAAATCGTTAAATCTTGGACACATGGATGTGTTAAAAAAAAAACCATGGATAGAACGCAATATGTATTTTGGCCGTATGGTGTTGATGTTTAAGTTTAATATATTTGTATTTATGGTAATAATAAGAAGAAATAGGATATCAAAACATTTTAACTGGAACATTTTGTTAAAGCTGGCCAATCTGGCGGAGTGAAAACCATTCTGATTTCATGGATATATGATTGACCAATTATAGTTGAGATTGTATTAAACCGTTTGGCAATTTAATATCTTAAATCGGAATTTCTCAAAATACTAAAGGTTAGACAAGGCCAGAAGTTGAGAAAGTTCAATCATTCGGATCGAAATCGAAAAATCTATATACCTATCAATAGTTCTTCAATTTCAAAAGATAAAAACTTTCTTATTTAACTTTTTTTAAAAATAACTTATCGTGTGATTATTGTAAATTTTAAAACTTTAAAATTCACATTGAAGCTTTTTTAAGGTTATTTTATCACTTTCACTGATACAAAAATGTCTATACAACTGTGACCTTCTATTACGCTGATTTTTTTTTTTTAAATTTACATTTTAATTTAAAAAAAATTGGAAGACAACATTGTACTGACTGAAAATAATAACTAGTCGATAACACGAGTTTTTTTAGAGGGAAGGGGGCAATTTTTTATAAGTGTGATATCATAATATTTGATATTAACAATTCAAACTGTTCTCAATCGAATATTACATCTTCTAATCTTTAAACCTGGTCATCTTTTTTTGTGAAGGTAATGACTTGGGAATAATTTTACGTTATACTAATTGCAAATATAAACGAGGTCGTTTGATTTAAAAAAAATTGTTTTTACAATTTTTACACTTTATGATGAGTTAAACACACAAAGGTTGTTGTATTTTGCCCTGAAAAATATATATTCGAAATATTATCAATTGAAAAAGTAAACTTGAAATGATTCGTTTGTGCACCATTTGGGATACCAGATACCAGGTTCTAGTATGGTTATAAAATAGTAGTAAGTAGCAGTAGTAATAGAAGTAGTAAAAAATATTGGACGATAACGATTATAACGGATAAGGTTTATAACAATGGCGACCTCAATATGGTAACCACTGGCGTAACCTTATAACTAGTAAAACGAATATAATAAATATGCTTGGAAAGTTTTTGTTTTCAAAAAATGTCTAGCTACTCTATTTCAATAATTACAGTTACCCCAAGAGACATTGTCAACTCCTGGCGGGACACCCTTTATGTGCAACTCGCAAGCCTTAAGGGTAAGGTGTGCTACAAAACAATATTACATAAGGGTGTATAGTTGACCTTGTGCCGGTTTTAGTCGTGACATCTTCGTGAAAACGACAAAAACGTTTTATGATATTATTATCGACAATGCTTTGCTTTCAATATACCCAAAATGTGGACATCGTCATCACCAGGGCTGTCACTGTTGCCCGAAACTGCAGATTATGGGTTTAATTTGTTTTATTTTCTGACATGTTATTAGACGGTTTTATACGCCATAGATCATATTAGAATTTCGATTAAAGTTTGTAAAGGTATGACATATTAATATAGAAAGACACTGCAATAATAATATGAACGTCCAAAAACCTATACCATAAAACCACTGGCAACAGCCAGCAGTTTAGAAACAATGAACAGAACGATAAAGAGTACATAATGAGTTTATTTTCTACCTAACCTCTACATGGTATTAAATAGGGGTGGTTTTGAGGGTGAGGGGCAGAGTTTTATTACTGCAATTGGATACTAATCGTACAGTAGAAATTTAAAACGTCGATTTTACTGTTAAAATATTTTGAAATATTCTAAATGTATTTTAACAATAATACAATTAGACATTTTTTTTTAATCACCCTTTAAAAGTTTGAATACAAATTATTATTGTCTACTGTTAGATATGTCTAACAGCTGTTATCAAATTGACTTACTTATAATTTTTTTTTTTAAATATTTTTGAATGACTCTTAACATAGAATCCCTAGATATCTAATAGTTTATTTTTATTTTAAAATTTACCATTTGACACACATAAATAGTAGTCTGATTGTAAGCAAACATATTTTCTAATTCATTTATTTTTTGTTTGAAATATGTTACAAATGATTTTGTATTTAAAATTGGACTAAGTCCTTACAATAAAGCCTGAGGTGCTCCATTTGAAATTTAGATTGTTTTCTATATACATCCGCTTGCAAAAAGTAATTTAAAAATCAAGTAAACAGTAATTTAATTCGTTACCAGACCACAGCACTAATTATTATTTAATATTTTTTTTATAATATAATTTCAAATTCCGAAAAAAAATGTTTACATTGTTATATGTATGTTTGTTTTGTAAAGACCAAAACAACAACACTTATCATCATCTGACTCATGTATTTTTATTTAATTTTAAGACCGGGAAAATATTTTTTTTGGACCTGCGAACCGTTTTCCATTAAAATAGTTTACTCACATATAAATATGTTTTTTTCACCGAATATAGAATTAGAAATTACTAAGGCGGCAAAAATTGTAAAAAATTCCTATTCATTCAAATAGTAGGCAATATCTCTAGTAGGTAATCAATTAGGTAATATTGTAACAACTCAATTATTCGACCAAACGTTTAATAGGCTATAAACCGGATTAACGTTTTTTTTTTTTCAATTGAACTTGATCGTGTCAGAATATTACTGCAATGCACGCTTAGCCTTGATTTTATTGTCAATAAAAAATATATAATTATATGCATCGTTTAATCACAACGCTAATGTAATAATAATAATAATAACAGTAGGTATTGTGTTTTGCCGTCTAAAGAAAAATCATTAAGCGACGGTTAATGGGCATTTTATCTAATTGCCAAATGATAAAACTTATATTATGGGTTTTTAAAAATTTAACAATAATAGAATATCCTCAACCAACGTGGGGAATATTGACCTTTTTGGAAGGTTGCGGACACGGGCATTGCAGCAAACACATTTCGGAGAAATCCGTGGTAGGTTTTCACGGGCAAAGACGTTATAAATAGGTACCGACAAAATATATTATGTTAATATACACCTAGGTAGGTATATATTAATGTAAATTTATAATTATTATTATTCGTACGTACTACATTATCGTTCTCTCCAAATCGATTCTAGGAAAATAATATAATCCCACAACAACGCTAAAATATTATATTATTTTTTTTCTCCCCAAAAATGTTTACCAGCCGTATACGTTATTCGGTATTTAAACACAACACGGCCGAGTGGTAAGTATGAAAATATGATATTTTAACAAAAACTAAAAAAATAACACACCTATATGGCTATATTATATGTATACACACAACTATTATTGTATAAGAGGAGCCGATTCGCGTTATGGTTCAGTAAGACGAGAATAATAATATTTTTGTAACGGCGGACGTTCTGTGCTGATAATTATTATTATTTTTATTATTATTATTATCGTACACGGTGTACAAGTAATGAGGCTGCGGTAGAGAGTAGCTGATACACCGCCGGAGAGAAAGACCAAAAAAAATTAAATTGGTTAAAAAAAAAAAAAAATTGTAAAAACGAGCGGTTGTACTTACGCCGGAATCACTTCCAACGCGTCTTCGAACTGTAACAGAAAAAAAAACTAATGAAAAATGAACAATATTTTTAGATTATAAAAACAAATTGCTGTTTAAAATTTCCCTAAGGTAATTTTTTTCAAAGGGGTTTCGGACAAAGGCCTGTCTTACCTCGTCTTCGACGTTATCGTCCATGCCGTTGATGTCGCCCATGTCGTCGGCCGGACTATGAGAGGAGCAAATTATAATATTATGTCTGCGGGTTAGAAAATGATTTTCCGTTTTTGTTCTTATGATTTTTATTTCGAAAATAACATTCCAAACGTCGGTCGGACCGAAGGCCTATCGACAATATACTATTATGCGGGTAGTACCATGATGATAAAAAATGATAATATTATGACCGTTAAAGATGTCCGCGCGCGGCGTAAGTACACTTTTCCACGGTTTTCGGTTAGGTTTTTTCGCGTAGGTTTTTCGAAAAATATATCATATCACTAGAGTGCTGTTAATGGTGAAAAAATCCAAATAAACATAAACGGGCCGACCAAACCAACGTGCGAGCAAACTGGCGTTCCGGCAAAGCGCAACTGAACCGTTGTTTGTATGTGTGTGTACGGTTCATAATATTATCAATATAATATATTGTTATGCCAGGCGGACGGCACCGAACGAAGCCGACCGCCGCGCTCGTGTATGCTCGGCACGTGCATGTGTGTGTGTGTGTATTGTGAGTACCGTCAGCAGCAGCAGAAGCTGCTGTACTACCTGTTTATCACTTGCCGTCAATATGATAATATGACCATAATAATGTTATAATTTATTATTATATTATTACCGTCAATTGTTAAGCCTGCCGTACGCGAAACGATACACGGCGATAATATTGTATTAAATATATGTTAATTGATAATAATTGTAATATTGTATGATATACCAATAAATTACCAAAAAAACCCAGCACAGACTCAGGCCCGTATTATTTAGAAAAATCGGCGATTGTAAACTGCGCCCAGGGCACAGGTAAACACAAAATCATATAAGTAAACTGCGCCCGAGTTTTTATCAAATGTAAAAAGGTTACATGTAAACTGCAATGAAAACACGTTGTAATTTTTCATGTTCTTGTTTTGTTTTAGAACTTCAAAATTAAAAACGTTCGTTTAAATTATTTCATTTAATGTATGTTTCTATTTGAATTTCTTTTAACTTTTCTATAAGCATACAAATATTTGGATGAGTTGTATAAAAGCTAGAATTAAAATGGGAATGGAAAGACTCGCATGCATTGGTGGTTAAAGTTGGCTCGGCTGAAGCTTGAGCCCATATTTCAAGTGGATACTGAGCTCTTCACTTATGTATACATCTACTAAACAATTCGCAATTAATCGTGTCACTCTTTCATCGTCGGGCTTAGATTTTATTAAATAATTTTAAAAATTCTCAGATAAACTTTCTGGGCTTAAAAATGGTATTCCGTAGCATGAACTAACACCCTTCTAATATCACTGTTCTTATTTTTATAGTCACTACTCGAGCCATTTTGTTGGATATTTCTATTCCAGGATTGTGTTAGATGAAAGCACCATCCGTGTTTCTTTAGTTTATCTGAGGCCAAACGGCATGGACATTGGTAATTTATGCAATTTGGTCAAAGTGGTAGCAACCCTAAAATATTAATATTTCTGTGATTTTATTGATTCGGGCGCTGTTTGCATTTCATACCTGAACTTGAATTATTCTATGTCCATGGATATTGCGTTCTTCACCCATATTCGACCACAACCAAGTTTTTATGTGCGCCGTTTTGTTTAATCCTAGGCAATATAACTCTCATGCCAAACGTTAAACACATAATAAAGTGCAAATAGAATTGAAAAAATTGGTAAGTACAAAATTTTAGCAAGTAGCTGGTAGTTTTATACTATTATTATACTACAGTACATTTCAGACCAACGTACTTAAAACATCAAATACCACCGCGTACATTCATTTAAAGTAGAAGTTTGGAACAAATATGTACAAAGACTAAAATGATTATTAAGTAGAAAGTAATTTTTTTTTTTATTTGTTTTGTTTAAACTAACAGCAAAATAAATGTATTTTTAGACAATATAACGTCTTCGCAATCTACTTTGCATGGTTTAAGGCCCTCGGTAGACGAAAGGATAGAATACTTATAAAACATTTAACCGGGAAAAACAATGTTAGCTCTAAAAACTTCTCAAAACCAGCTTATAGCAGGAAAATAATTAATATTTCGATAACATATGTACCTATCGTCTTACCGTCGCATCGTAATGATTATATGTATACTTGAAGAAGTATATAGTCATCGATTAGCCTTAGGTTTGCATTTTTCTTATCTCCCACACCGGCTGCAAGTTTTGCAACATAATCAACCAAGTGCAGGAGGTCGTTAAAAGCGTGTACAGGTCGCAATGTCTTCCAACATCACTGCCAACCGTGTACTACTCGCTTTTTTTAATTTTACCCAGGAGATATTCAATCAATGATCTTTACTAAAAATTGACACGTTTAAATAATAAACCATAAAATCTTGTCAAATTGTCTTTATGCCGTTATTCATAAGTGGTAATGTCTTTTTAAAAAAAATAAATTTATAGTCCTTAAAAATCATTTTTAGATTTATACACTTAATGTATGCGAATTTATGCCTAATCATAGAATTAGAAGGTATAAGTGTGTCAATTATGTTTTGTAAAAAAGAATCGCAACATTATTTTGCATTATAAAATAATTAAACATCATAAAATACACCTTATAATTCATTCTAATAATATTATTGTTGTGTTAAAAATATATTTATACAATGTAAATATGTTTAACTTATAGAATAAATAAATGCATTTAAGGGTGTACGAGTTCCTGAATTAATCCAGCTCAAAGGTTATTGAAGTTTACCTTAAAAAATAAATTTTAAACGAAGGATTTAATCATAACCACAGAAGTCTCTTCAAGACAGTTATTGTGAATATTTTTTAAATATGTCTCTTAAAATGTGTCGCGTAACACAGAGATAATTATAAAATCATATAACTTGTAAAAACATGTAGTAATGATGAGTTATGATTAGGTATCATAGTTTGTAAACTAGAAGATTTTGACACAAAATATTTTAAATACTTAAGCATAACATATAAAATATTTCCGCCAACAAATGTTTTATTACCTACAAGTTCAAAATAAGATAATTCGGATGTCTACTTCATAATTAATGGGAATCCGTTGTCATCAAAAATGGTGCACCATTATACATAAAAGCGTTAATAAAAAAGAGACATCACTATCGCTTGTGATATGATTTAAAAAGGTAATCATTTTTTTTTATTTACTTGCCTGTAGGTGTTATACTTTTAAAGTAAGTAATACAATTTTTTTTTTGGCATAAATTCTCGCTTGTTTGTCACTACTAGATTATACTAGCTGGATTTTATTAACTAATGATTTATTGAATGATGTAATTTTATACAATAGAAAATCTAACCTTAGTATATGCGAATGAGCCAGTATTGTCATAATCTGCACTACTGGTTGACTGTTGTTGACCACATATCCATTATATGAACACTTAAATAATGATAAACATATTACATCTCAAAATGTATTGACTTGTAATTACGTTAAAGTCAATTTTATAAAGAAAAAAAAATGAACTTGCATAACTAATTGCATTTGTTTGCAAATGGAACGATTTATTTCTATCAATGACAAACACAGTTAAATAACAAACATAGTTTATCTCCATAGAGACAAATACAATTCTTAGTCTAAAATAAAAATAAAATAAAATTTAAATAAAATAAAATAAATACTTTTTGAACTATACAAAAAAATGCGGGGAAGAGTATAGAATTTTATAAAACGAAATGACACGTTAATTAATCCATTAATAATTTAATTACTCTAGATTATAAATTGATTTTGCAATTTGTTTGCTGCTAACATTGTCTTAGTAAATAATAGTTTATAACAATAATAACGTAAATAATGATCTATATTTTTCCGTACAAACTTTTAGAATTATCACAATCAAGAAATATAAATTTAACATCATTTTTGAATAAGTTAAATAATTGTGGGGGCAAGTGTTGGGGAACATCGGATATACAGAAAATAGTTTCTGAAAGGTAACTCTGAATTTTAAAAACTTCTGAACGATCGGTCAGATAGGATCTTAGAGCCAAGAAAGTAAAGAGTATTTTATTCTAATATGTTTTAACTTTCTTATAAGAGTAAACCAGAATTTAGACCGGAACACGGAATAGGAAGGCAGACCCATAATAAATTCTCAAATAAAAAAAGAACAAAATTTAGACAACTAGGACATACTATGTATGAAAAAGACAGTGGAAGGGATCCTTATCCAGTTCGAAGGACCATATATGTTTTGAGTATAAACCTCTTGAATTGACTTACAAGGACAGTTTAATTATTACAGGACCTAACGGGAAATGTTAATAAAATATTATTATGTTTTAATATTTAAAATTAAAGGGTTTCTTATAAATTAGATATATGATTGTGTATATTATTATTTTAAAATTAAAAATATTATTATCATTATAAATTGTTTTCTAGATTTGATTTTTTTTTAATAAAAAACATTATGTATGAAGTATACTTGTATATTATTCTACTTTTTAAAGGTATATATAATGATATTTATGGTTTTGACTTTTGTCAAATTAAAATTTATTAATCAACACATTTTTAAAAATTATGTAATTCCATTATCGTTCATGCACCTATTTATTTAATTAAGTATCTTAAGAGCGGCATTAAAATTTTCGCTTTAGGGCGGAAAATATCTTACGACGGGGCTGAATTTAAAGACGTAGCAAAACGAGGGCATGCGATACAACAGGAGATATCCAACAGGAGCGAAATAGTAATAGGAATACAATCCAGTCGGATGATTCAATAAAAATCGAAAAAATACAATACAAACATACTTCTGTGGTATGCTCCCTTTTTATATTGGTTTATTTGTGGGTATTGTCAATTTATTTAAAATTTATGAATTCCCGTTTCGATGATAAAGCTTTCTATTTATATTTCATATATAATTATTATTGTGAGGCGTGAAAGTTATGAAGAACCCAAAAATAAACCGCTAAACAGTTTAAAGAGCTTAAAAAAAGTAAGTCCTAAAATAAATATGGCACAGATCTTTGAAAACTCGTTGAAAAATATGATGGCTTACATTTCCATGCATTATATTTAAATTTTGTAGACTGTTTTGGTAATGCAAGATTTAATTCTTTGATTATGGAAGACACTTTAAAAAGTATAAAAGTGAGTTGAGTTTTCAGTTAAATTAATCATTTTTTGTTATTAGTAAAATGTAAATGTATTTAACTTTTTTCAGGTGCTGTTGGGCTGCGCCAATGATTTGAACAATTTTTCAGAAAGAAATTTGTTAAAAAATTTAGGCCATTGGTATGGGATGATTACAATAGGAAAAAATAGACCCGTATTGATGAAAGATGTCGACCTTAAAATGTTGTTGGTTGATTCGTACAGTAAAGGTGTTAAAGAATTACTATATACTGTACCATTTATAACAAAAGTTTTAGAATCGTGTTC